ACATACAAACTTCAGTTTCAGAGTGACTCTCAGCATTTTTACATATTATGTGCAAAGTTCTTGGTTCTAGGCTGTCATTTATTCGTAAACCCATATCTTTGAGTTATAAATGTTTGCGTCTAAATTTTGTGCATATATTGAAGGCCACATTGGATATTTCTTTTACAGTAAACTATACTCTCAAATATTATTTTAATGCAAAGAAAATGAACGTTATATGCCATTCTGAGCCCATAATGAACAAAATAAAAACTAGTGAAATTTTAAATTAGTTTAGTTAATTAGAAATTTTTAAATTTTCAACTTTTTTTAAATATTTTAAATTTTTTTCCCTGTTCCTGTTATATTGATCAATTAGGAAAAGTTGGTAGCATTTACCATGTAGATTATACACAAAAAATTTGAGTGTTTGAGGATGGTTGATAAATTGCGCACCTGGCCCTCTTAAGGAAACGTAGACTTTACCACTAGTTTACTCTATGTAAATCTCGTCTCATGTTTATGTGCACTCAGAGAGGTAATGTAAGATCAAGGTGGTAAAGTATTTCTGTTGTGCTTGAGGGTTTTGGGTTAATAAATTATACAGTATTAAGGTAAAACTTTAGCTGGAGTTTCCATCACACACATGGTTCAGGGTTAGGTGATCTGCACTACCTTAAGATGATTTTGGGGCTTAGCGTTCCCGCGGCCCAGTCCTCAACCAGGCTTCCTCTAGACAGCAGTCCTTTCATAATTCATTATTTATCTGGGAACTGTTTCCCTGGGGCCAGACCTATCCTAGCCCCATTAGGTGGAGCTCCCTTACCTTGATTCTTACCCAACTCAGCCCTCACGATGTAACAGTAAACCCAACCGAGATGCAGCAAGGAGGAATAGCAAGGGCGCAAGGGAAGACCTCAGGATGGCAGGGGCAGAAAGAATGATCATCAGAGAGCAATGATGAAGAACACTCCTCAAACTCACAAACAGTGAGGTTGAGCTTAATGGACCACTCTATAAGGACCATGAGAGACCTGCAGGGAATTTCCAGGGCCTGAAGGATGGTAACCATCAGTGCAGCTCAGTAGAAAAACAAACTAAACACGACTTAAACCACCAGGCTATGGGAGGTGACTGCAGTGTGCCATGTAAACAAGCACATGGACCCCAGTGTGCCCCAACCAAGAGTAAAACAGAGGAACCCAAGGCGAAGTATCCACCTTGGTAGAGAGGCCTCACAGGGGTGAACTCTCAAACACACCAGAGAAGGGAAGCTCTGGATATGCAAGGGAAGCATTAGCAAACACACAGGAAAGAGAACCATGTGGCCTAAAATTCCCAATGGGCCCGGGACAAACCATTTAATTAAACCAGAATCAGAACACGCATGCGAGGGCTACACTAAAACAGGAAACAATACACAAAGAAAATGGCCTGCACAGGACAACCAAGTCCAAGGATATCCAGCACTTAACACTTTGGCGGCCCCAGCCCGCCAGCTCTCAACTAGGCCGAGTGGGCCCCAGCCCGCCAGCCCTCAACTAGGCCGAGTGGGCCCTAGCGTTTCGCGGGAGCGCGCGGTAATTCTGAAAAGTGTATACTCTCTTCAACTTTGTCACCTCAATTCTCGTCCAGGGTTTTTCAATTTGATATCATTGTGTTCGCAACAGAATTCTCTTCACGACTAAAGACATATAAACTCCAAAAGCCCGGCGTACCATCCACAACAAACAGAGAAAGCGAGTGCGTGTTACCCGGGAGTGCATAAGAGCGATAAAATGTGTACACTCCTTTCACGTTTGTCACATCAATTCCCGTCCTAGGGCTTTCATTTTGGTATCATTGTGTTCGCAATAGAATTCCCAACAAGAGCATATGCATATGAAGTAAAAAAAACGCAGCACGCTCCACCCGCCGACCAGATGAATATGGCCCGGAAAGAGAGCACTGCGCCATCCCAAGGCGCCTCTCATTACATTAGAGAGCGAGGTAATACTGAAAAGTATATACTCGTTTCTACTTTGTCATCTCATTTCTCATCCTAGGTTTTTCAATTTGGAATCATTGTATTTGCAATAGAATTCTCTACACGACTAAAGACATATAGAGTACAAAAGCCCGGCGTACCATCCACAACAAACAGAGAAAGTGAGTGCGTGTTACCTGGGAGCGCATAAGAGCAATAAAATGTGTACACTCTCTTCACTTTGGACATCTCAATGTCCAAAGTGAAAGTCCTAGGTCTTTCATTTTGGTAATTATGTTCACAATAGAATTCCCTACAGGAATATATGCAAATATAAAGTCCAAAAGCCAGGCGTGCCACCCACAGCAAACAGAGAAAGTGACGGAGCATAATCCCTGTGAGTGCTAATAAAATGGGTACACTGTTTTCAACTTTGTTACCTCAATTCTGGTCCTAGGTCTTTCATCTTGATATCAATGTATTCGCAATGAAATTCCCTACAAGAGTATATGCATATAATATCTAAAACTGCTGTGCGCCCCTCCCGAAGCCGTTGCCAAAAACGACGCAATGCTGCGTCGTTACCGGGAATGCTTCAACTAACAAAACGACACAATGCTGCGTCGTTACCGGGAATGCTTCAACTAAAAAAGCGACGCAATGCTGTGTCGTTCCCGTCCGGAGGTGTTAATCAACTTGAAGCTTTTGGGCTTGTCCATGAGCTGGCGTGATTGGAAGGTGTGAAGACACGAGCATCAGAAATAGAACTGAATCAGTGAGACAGCTGGAAGCCTGGCCCGGGCGGCCTGGAAGTTCAACAGAACTCCTGCAACTGATGTGACGTTTTAGTGTGGAGCAGTCTCAGCGAGATAGCTACAAGGAGCTACCAAGGGGCTTCCCCAGAAAAGCCCATGTACTGCCTGAAAGTGAAAAGCCTCACAAGGAGGCAACCCAAACCACACAGCAAAGCCCTCCCTGGGAAACAGGTGACCCAGGTTTGCTACAAGGGAGGAAATCCCAGGCTACAACAACTGAAGCAAACTGTTAACACAATACGCATACAAAGTGTGCACAGAACACACTCATGAAGTAGTATATGGAATAAAACCAAACAAAGGCTGTGTATAGGACAACTGTTCCAGGCACAGATAGTATCACTTATGTGAAAGGTGACAGAAGGCCCAGCAGAGTTGAGAGTCCCTGGATTAGGAAAAAGAGCTTGTGACTGACCAAAATCCTAGGTCACCTGGGCTGCCATCTAATAATTGGTAATTGTATTTACTGTAGGCATAATATTGCCATGGAAATGATTATTTGCAGAGTTTTTGTGAGGGTTACAAATTTCTCAGAGCATTTGTTTGTTTTTGGAACATTTTGACTTTCTGTTGGGTTTTGTGTTGTCAGTTCTGTAGGGATCTCTTTGAGCAGGCCAGATTCTGGTACTGATTCTGATAGATCTTCATTAGCTACAGAGCTGTGGTGTGTTCCCCAAAGTTTGGTTGCTTCCAGGTTATAGCATTGGGGAGTTATTGAGGAGTCCCAGAAAAAATGATCTTTTCATATTTATCATTAATCATTATAGAACTCAAGACAGTGAATAAATGAGGAAAAAGAAAACATTTTTATATCTTGTACACAATACAGTACTACTGAACTATGTAAAGAAAATGGCACAAAAAGAAGTGTGTGAGGATTTGAAGGATGCGTAATTGGAGATTTCAGTGCCAGTACAAGGGATGACATTTAAATGTTGCCAACAGATAGTAGCACTTACAGAGTCCAGGAATGTGTTTTAAAGGTCAGAGGGCTTGGTTAAATATTACAAGACTTGGAAACATTTTACTAAGCATATGGATGGAAGTCAAATATGATAGCCAAATCCCCTTTCCTTCATTCAATTGCTTTGACAAAAAACAGCTTAAGGGTTAATACTGTACCATTTCATAAATTATTTTTTAAGTTTAAATTTAAAATATAGAAACTTGGAAACTCTCTGATGCACATACCTCTTTTAGTTTATCCAAATCATCAAAGTCAGATAGATTGGACCAAATGTTATTGGGAAGATTCAAGTCTCTAAGATGTTGTTCAATGTCAGGCTTGACTAAAAAGCCTGGCAGGAAGCCATTTGTTGAGGGTGTCAGATTGATAGACTGGATCTTCTGTGGTATTTTTCTGCTCTTTGCCAGGGAATACAGAGTCCTGTTACAAACCAGCTTGCCACGGCGCAGAGAGAGTCTTCCTTCATGATGCTTGGTGTCCTTCAAATATAAATATTCTGCAGTGATGTATTTGAGGAAACTATCTCCGAGAACTTCCAATCTTTCCAGATCCACATTGTCATGAACGGCACAAAGTGTGAGAGCTTGAACTATTACAAATGGATGGATATAGTCACTCTTCTTTTTTACTAATGACGCAGACAAATTTTTTTCACGATCATCTCTTGTTCTTGCAATTATTTCTTCAGTCCAATTAAAATTTATTTCTGAATACTCTGAATCCTGTGTATTATAATTTGGGGCATTCATGGTAACATTCAGTTGATGGGCCAAGTTTAAACTATTCAGACGATGAAGAATTGACGGGATACACATGATCTGCCACCAGAGAGAGGCTTTCAGAGGCAGTACGACACAATGTTCAGGAATGTACTTGGCAGGTTCACGTCCAGTCTTCTGATCAGTCTTCTTACAAGTATCTGGCAGCTTTTTTAAGTAGTTGAGTTCTTTTGGTAGGTGCTTTGCCGCTATTAAAGGCTGTTGGAGATTAGTGGTCCTCTTAGCATATCTTTGAAAGACATATTGTGCATAAGAAGAGAATATTTGCTTTAATTCTGGAAACTCACTTTGTGGATTTATATCATTAAATATTTCAGTAACATAGAACAGGTCAGTGTTTTGCATATACACTGGGTAAATTACAGCATCCTCAAAAGTAGATCTCTCAAACTGGAAACTTCCTGTTTGTGATCTAAACATATTGGGCAATCTTAGAGATGTCAATGGGAATATCTGATTTAGAACATCTAAGTCAATTGTGCCAGTTTTTCCTATTGGCACAATAAATACTCCTGAGCTTTTAGAATCAAAGACAAATAGTGAGGTATTGATGTGCAATAGTGTCTCAAAAACTAGCTTATGGAAATGTTCAATTTTACTCATCAGCTCAGAACTTTGTTCTACAAGTTCCTTAACAAATTTCACCTTGACTTCCACTTCCCCCCATTTAGAAAAGTAGAGTGGGAATGGACAACGAATCAATTCTTTTTTACAAATCAATCCCATCGTTACATCACTCTTGGAGGAATCAATTACTAAATTAGTATGGGGTGTGCCCTTTGGCTGAATGATAATTGAATACAACTTGTAGTTTCCTTCATGGAAATGGGTAAATGCCTCGCACACCTCCTTATCATAGACTTGACGTCGCTTCTTTGTACCAGGCTCAGGTTCCCCCTCCTTTACTCCTTCAAGTGGAACTTCCACCAGACCATCTAGTATACTATCATCTAATACCTCTGCTGGCCTTAAGTATTTATCCAATTCTTTCATTTCATGCAACTTTTTACAAAGATACAGTGCAGCACTCTTTTTGGCAAGGTCTTTATTCTCCATACAATCCCCACGGATTTTGTCCTTCAGGGTTGAATTAATAGGTAGCTTTATTTCGGCCACAACTCCATTGTCTGTCTCTTCATAAACAACTTCTGGTGCCAATACTGTAAACTTATCCTGTGGAAGATTACCACAATACACATTAATGAGTGAAATGGCAGAATTTGCAGTGACTTTGGGTCCATCTGGTCCAAATGGCTCATAAGGAGAAATATATTCATCTTCAGAAAAATGCAAGCGTATTTCTTCACTCGTAGGCAATTCACGATTGTGGCATAATTTTGTCAAAGATGCTTCAATTTCCCTGTACACTTCCACTGTCTCCAGCATGTCACGCAGACTATTCTCCTCCACCATAAGTACATACCTAGAGGGATGTGCACGTGCTCTCCCCCTTGACTGTACATATGCCCGATAATTCATTGGCTTGTCAAAGCGTAAAACAATATTACACTGTCTAATATCCACACCTTCCTCCAAGACACTAGTTGACACTATGAAATTGCAATCGCCATTACGAAACTTATTTAATGTTTCTTTCTGCTTTCGAAGTTCTAATTGAGCCAAACGAAGGTCAACACCCAAGCGGGTATTTGAACCAACAACATACAAAGGCTTAACAAATTCAAGATCTTCAGCCCTTTTAGCAGCTTCCAAAAGTAAATCATACAGGATCTTGGCAGTGTTTCTCCTCTCAACAAAGATCAATCCATATACCTTTGTGTTACATGCACGAAATATTGAAAATAGTCTCTTAACTTTCTTGGTAACATGAAAAAGAGGGTTCATGGTTGATTCCTCTTTTGTACAAAATTCATGTATCTTCCCCAACCTCCTGCTCAGCAAGCTCATCAATTCCCGAACTGCTGGTACATCCTCTATCTTTTCAATTTCATCAAAATGGTCTATCTCGTACTTAATTGCCCGAGCCACACACCAGTCTCCAAGATGACTCATAATGTACCTAATGTTTTCTATTTTCTTATTTACCACTTTCTTGTACTTCTTTTCAATATTTTTTTGTTCATTTACGTCATCTATGATTCCTTGTAACTGATTATAGATTATATCTTGGTACTCTGTAATTTCTTCAGATCCGTAACAAATTATTATCTCCTTTGGACCGGTACTATGCTTAATAACTTCATCTTGATCAATAGTCGTTGCTAATGCACAATCCATCGCAGCTTCCAGTTTTTTCATCATGTCCAACACATCATGCTTTCTGCATTTACGATGAATAACACAAGCTGTAAGCCCAAGAACTCTAGGGCATTTTTCAGAGGATGAGTTCTTCAATTTTTCATACTGTCTCATGATCTCTCGCATAGGGTGATTACCTGTGGTGTGATGACATTCATCCATGATAACGAGATTCACTGATGACAGTGGCAGCCTGGCATGAAGAATAAGATCAAGAAATATTTGTGCAACCACTACCAATACTTCATTCTTCTCCAGCTGCTCCAACCACTGAAAAGGAACAATATAAAACCAGCGTTGAATGTAATGAAACGCCATTTTCTGGGTGAGTCCCGGAGGCTCCCCGGAGCTATCCCAGGCTGATATGCTAATGTCAGACTTTGGCATCAGTCATGTGTATGGAGTTCTCAGGCCTACCGGGGACCACGGCCAGAACCGGGCCCCCTCAGAGAGGCAAGGGGAGCAATGGCCTATAGAAGCCCCCGTGTAGTTGGAAGCATTCTATGTCTGCCATCGACCGGAACAGGCACCCAGAAAGGTAAGCGCCCCAAAACAAACCCCTATTCTGGTTAAAATTGCTACCAAAAACCGAACTAGTGGATAGAACTCCCCAACTGAAAACAAGCAAACTAGTGTGACGTCAGACACTGCCGCGCCGCTGTCTGCGCAGCTCCCCCCTCCCCGGGAGGGGGAAGGGGGAGCCCCAGACCCCCCCGCGCCGGCTACCCACACCTCAGTTCTTGACGCTGGATGTCAAAAACGCGAAAAACCGCCGACCTTAGGGAGGGAGGGATGCCGGGGAGCCTCCGGGACTCACCCAGAAAATGGCGTTTCATTACATTCAACGCTGGTTTTCTGGGGGGAGCCCCGTCGGCTCCCCGGAGCTAACTACCCACAGACAGAAAAAAGAGGGACTTACCCGGGAGGCGGTCGTCGCTCACCCCTCAACTCGAAGCCGAGACAACTGGCTGCAACCGCCGACCCAAAGCAACACAGGCCCGACGAGGCCCAGGGACATTCACAAGGTAACGAGCAGCCAGGACCCTGTTCGACCGCCAAAATCCCCGCGCCCGAATATCAGACCAAGACATATTCCCAAAGACGGCAGCAAGAGCCGCGAACTTACGAACGTCATGGGCACGGGGATAGACCGCAGGCTGGCTGGACCTAATAACCCTGCGGACGACCTGAGAGACCCGAACCCGCGAACAGGGAAGAAGGGAAACCGGATCAACCCACAGCGCGTCCCCGGACACAGAAGCTGTGGCGCGCAAATAACGGCGAAGCGCCGCAACCGGACACAAAACATGATGCACCCCCGGCCTGACCAACCAAGCATCAACCACCCATGGACCCCTCCGGAACGCAGCAGTCTCATTCTTCGCCAGAAAAGAAGGAGACGGCTGCAAACGAACAAAACAATCACCACGACCAAAAGAGCAGAAACCCCTGCGCCGGAGGAGAGCATGAAGCTCCCCTACCCGACCCCCAGAGGCCAAAGCCAACAAGAAAAGTGCCTTGGAAAAACAATCCTGGACCGAAGGGGCCACAACGAAACGAGGAGATGAAAGGAAAGCGAGCACTCTGTCCAAAGACCAGGACGGCTCAGGCGATGCATGAGCAGGCCGGAGGTGAAACAATGCACGAGACAGCTTGCGAAACGGCGCAGACGTAACATCGATACCGAAAGGAAGCTGAAGCGGCTCCGCCAGCGCCGCACGATACGAAGCGACAGTGTTAGGCATAAGATGACGGTCCTGAAACAACCACGAGAGGAAGGACAAGACCACCCGAACAGACAAGGAGCTAACACGACGAAGACGTAAAAAGAAACGGAAGGACCGCCAGGAAACTTCATACTGCCGCCGAGAAGAAGCCCTCAGGTGGGACACCAACAAGGAGGCCACCTGATCACCATAGAGATGATGAAAGACTCGAGGCAAAAAAACTATACGCGAAGACTCGAGGAGAAGATCGAACCAGCTACGTGACGTACCGGCCCGATCTGCTGAAAGAGGCGGAGCCGTGGGAAAACCCTCGGGTTCAGACACCGAGCAACCAGCGCCTGAAACCAAGGCTGGGCCGGCCACCAAGGGGCCAGAAGGACAACTCTCCCTCGGTAAGTCTCTAAGCGAGTCAGGACCTGGAGCAACAGCCGAACTGGGGGAAAGAGGTACAGGAACCCCCACCTCGACCAGTCTAGCCGAAAGGCATCGACCCCGACGGCCTCGCAATCGGGGAAGGGCGCCGCATAAACGGGAAGACGCCGACGCGAAGAGGTCCACTTCGGGGAGCCCGAAAGTCTGGCAAAGCCAACGGAAGGACTCGTCGTCGACCGTCCACTCCGTGGAGAGGGGAACGAAGCGAGACAGGGTGTCGGCCAAGACGTTGGACACGCCCCGTACGTGAACCGCCAGGAGAGCCAAACCCCGAGAACTCAGCAGACGAGTCACCCGAAGCGACCAACCCCAAAGAGACAAGGACCGCATCGAACCCCCGCGGTTCAGGCAAGGAACCACCGGAGAGCAGTCCGAATGGAGCCGAATCGTCGATCCGCGGGCCACCCGAATTCTCCCCAGAGCAAACCACACTGCCGCGAACTCCCGCACCGTGCTGTGAGCTCGACGGAAGAACGGATCCCAACGCCCCTGGCCGGCCTGGTGAGCACTGGTCACAAAACCCCAGCCGAGAGACGACGCATCCGTGTACACATCGAGCGAGGGCTCGGGTAGGCGCCAAGGCACTGAACCCCGAAAAACCCGAAGAGGAAGCCGGTGACGCAGCAACCGACGCAAGGCCCCTGGGGGTCGAACTCCGCGATCGCGAGAGAGGCGGAAGGGGGAACCCCGAAGGAACCAGAACAGCCGTCGAAGCCAAACCCGACCCTGCGGGTAGACCACCATCGCGAAGTTCAGGCTCCCGCACAGCCCCTCGAGCAACCGCCGGGTGACCCGAGGGCCCTCCAGAAACAGACGAAGGCGGGACCGCAGCCGCAGGAGAGACTCCGGAGGGAGAGAAGGAGGCGGTTCGAGAGTCCCACACGAGACCCAGCCAAGTCCGAACCTGAGAGGGAACCAGATGGGACTTCCTCCAGTTCACCAAGAACCCGAACTCGGCGAGCTGGGAAAGAACCAAATCCCTGGCTAGCAAGCAAGCTGACTGGCTGGGAGCCCAAACCAGCCAGTCGTCGAGGTAGGCCAACACCCGAACACCTAGGAGACGCAAACAAGCCACCACAACCCGTGTAAGGCGCGTGAACACACGAGGTGCCAGGTTCAACCCGAACGGGAGACAACGAAAGCGGTAACTCAGACGCCCCACAACAAAACCGAGCCAGTCCCTGAACCGCGGATGAAACGGGACATGCCAATAAGCGTCCCGGAGGTCCAGGGACACCATCCAAGCTCCCGGCTCCAAGAGGAGCCGAACCTGAGACAGCGTAGTCATCCGAAAGGAGGGGCAATGAACCCAGGGGTTCAGACGGGACAAGTCCAGAATGAACCCGCAGGTCCGCGCAGTCCCGTTTCGGAACCGGAAACAGACGGGAAACCCATCTGAGGGACGACGTCGTTTCGACGACGCCCAAGCGTACCCACTCCAAGATGACTCGACAGAGCGCAGGAGAAGAAACCTGCCCTGCCAGCCCTGACCCACCAAAGGGGGGAGGGGCCACCCAACGCCACCGCAGGCCGCGAGACACGACCCGAAAGGCCCACGAATCGTGGGACCAGGCGCGGGCGAACAGCGCAAGCCGCCCCCCCATCGCCCCGTGAAGGGGGCAAACCGCGAAAGGGCCGGCGACCCTTACGAGACCCAGAACCCCGCACAGCGCGAACACCGCGCCGACCAGACGAGGGAGGGTCCGCAGGAGGAGCCAACCCCAAACCTGACACCAGAGGCCTACCACGACGAGAGGAACCCCGAGCCCTGGCACGACCTTTCCGGGAAGACCCACCCCGGGACCCCCGGAAAACCAACAAGTCCGACATCGGACGACAAGCCGCCGACGCAGCCTGAATAAACTGCGCCACGGCCGACTCCCCAAACAGGAGAGGACAAAAAGGTGAAGAACGCCTAAGAGCCAGAGCCCAAGCAGATTCCACGGAGGAACCCAGCACCGCCTGCCGACACGCGAGACGGGAAGCATAGAACAGGGAAACCGCATCCCGCAAAATCGGCGTGAACAGCTTCAACAAGGCAGCCGACGAACGCGCAGCCGAGGACAAGGTGCCGGACCCCGGGACGGACCCAAGCGTCCCCACATCCTCCACTAGCCAATCCGAAGACAGCTCCAGGAGGGAAAAGAACCGCAAGGCCGAACACAAAAGGCTCCGGGCGCGCAAGTCCTCCGCAACGAGCGCCGCCGAAAGGGAGGGATCCTGCACATGGAGCTGAATAACGCCCACATCGCGGGGAACCCCAGGGGCAAACAAGCACTCATTCAGGGCCGGAAGCAGGGGCGGGGGACCAGAACGAACAGAAGGGGAAGGACGAGGAGGTGCGGACTGAACCAGGATCGAAGCGACCCCCACCCCCAAGTCCGGGTCTCGAAAAGCAAAGCGGGGCAGCCCCGGGGCATCCGGGGAAGCAACCAACCGAGCGCGTTGCAACAGACGAAACCTAGACTGCAACGCACGTGCCGCCTGTACCCGAATAGAATCATCAGAGGATTGGGTAAATTGAGTCACAAGCAAGCAGCAACACTCACAGGACTCAGGGTCGAAAGTATCACCGACCCAACAGGCAGCGTGGCAGAGGCAAAAACAATGAGGGTCACCCTGAGACAAGGGGACCGAGCAACCCTCAAACTCGCACACAGCGAGTGGGGACTCCGGGGTCACATCCATCGGACCCACGCGCCCCCTAGGGGATTCCCAGGGTCCTGAGCGTTTACTTTAAGAGGACTCGCGCTCAGGTAGTCCCAGGCAGGGTGCTGCAAACCGGCGCCCAAAACTACCAAGCAAACTTCTAAAGCTGAACCCCAAAGACGTGTACACTCACGGGGACCTAGCAGGGGGCGCCACCGAGGAGAACAGTGGAAGGGCAAAAACAAACTGAATAAAATGACAGAACCCCCCACCAGGCAAAAACAAAAAGAAAAACAAAACCCCGCAAGAGGACAGCGAACCCCAAGGAACAGAGCCGGCCGCGATGTCGGGAAATACAAGCTGAGCAGCACCCTGCGCCCCTACCAGTGCAAACTGCCTCTTACCTGCCGGTAACAAGGGAGAACAGAACACCCAAGAGCCCAACAGGCGGCCGAAAAACCGAAAGGTAAAACGGACCAGCAGAGGCAGACCCCGAGGAGCCTGTGGAAGGTGGCCCCAAGCCCCAAGGGCAGTACTTACAGGGCACCTAGGGAAGGCAGCCCTAGGCGCATGCAGCCCGAGTACTGAAGATAACTCCTGGCTCTCGCACCCACAAAACTAACACCACACGCAAAGCACAGTGCAGTAGCGACACCGGAGCCAGAGCACACGACCATCGCCTATAGCATCAGCCTCAAGAACTGAGGTGTGGGTAGCCGGCGCGGGGGGTCTGGGGCTCCCCCTTCCCCCTCCCGGGGAGGGGGGAGCTGCGCAGACAGCGGCGCGGCAGTGTGTGACGTCACACTAGTTTGCTTGTTTTCGGTTGGGGAGTTCTATCCACTAGTTCGGTTTTAGGTAGCAATTTTAACCAGAATAGGGGTTTGTTTTGGGGCGCTTACCTTTCTGGGTGCCTGTTCCGGTCGATGGCAGACATAGAATGCTTCCAACTACACGGGGGCTTCTATAGGCCATTGCTCCCCTTGCCTCTCTGAGGGGGCCCGGTTCTGGCCGTGGTCCCCGGTAGGCCTAAGAACTCCATACACATGACTGATGCCAAAGTCTGACATTAGCATATCAGCCTGGGATAGCTCCGGGGAGCCGACGGGGCTCCCCCCAGAAATAGTGAGTTAAATTATATTTTATATTGTATGTACCATTTGCTCCTTTTCCACTTTATTTCATTTTTATTATCAATATCATTATTATATACTGTACAGTGGCATCCCAAAAATTTGGACCCTGGAATAACAGATTTTGCAAAAATCAAGACCAAATCTGTCCACTAAAAGTTTCCTTCAATTTTGCATTGCTTAAAACCAAAATCCAGATTCCATGGGAGACACGAAGAACTAAGGTTCATTGGTTAATCATGTAAAATAAATATAATTAATTGAATTTTTTCATAATTTTTCTAATCTTGCTTTATTGTTTAATGAATTTACTAAGCATGCCACTAGGTAAACAGGAAGATGATTTTGGGTTTGTGGTGGCATAACTTTGCCCTCATTAGACCAATGAGTTCACAACATTTTAGTGGAGTGGGAATATACCAGTGTTTCCCTCAAGTGTGTATGGAAGGGGAGCCATGAAGAGTGTGGCAGCTGTGCAGAAGAAAATTCTAGATGATGACTGAAGGCTGTGTGGTGGTTGGCAACAGGATGCACTGCATTACAAATTGGCAAATTTTATTTTATTTAGAAACATTGGCAACAAATGAATTTATCCAATCTATCCAGCAAAAATAAAAAAAGGAAATATATTGAAATTAACTTTAAAATACAGTATGGTCTTGTTCCAATGAACTATATTCACTAGGAAAGAAGAAGAGATATTTGACATTCAGTAACTTCCCCTCTTGGGTAAAAGTGCCCATGTCTTTTTGGAAATAAAGAATGCGATGCATTATAAGTTACAAGAGAATGAGTAACATTAAGCAAATGAAATACTTTTTTAAAGAAAGTATTCTATGGAGAACTTAGAAAGTTCTTTAATAAATCTTGTGTAACATGTTAACACACAAAAGACTCCAAGATGAGGTTTACGAACTGGCCAGTCCAGACGTTCTCTGCCAATACTTCATAGGCTTACAAGTCTACATGTTTCAAAATGATGTCATCAAGTTTCAAGAATTGTGATTTATCTTTATCTTCTCTTACTACAATTTCTCTCATGATTATTATAAGGCCCTCTCTTTTGTCATCTAGTTCTTCATTAGTTATGTGTTGCTTGCTGTTTGACTGTAGGCAGTAATAATTATCAGTTTATCATTCTGACGGTAGGTTTCCAGCACCATTATGTCGACTTCAAGGGTTGTCAATTATTAATTTTCTAGCTATTAGATGTTCATTCCTCAGGATAGCAACTCTTTCACCTTTCTAAATTTTTCTGTCACGCCTTCAAATAGCGTACTGAAAGATGTCACTTGCATTCCATAAGGCATCCATGTAAACAACAAATCAAAACCTAAGTAAAGGATGTCCACTATGCTTGCTTAGTTCACTGGTAGTCATGTATCAGTATAATTACTGTATAAGCTCACTTATCCGAAGTTCACTTTTCTGAATCTTTGGGTTACCTGACAGTTTTCAGAAATGCTGGTGAAAATTTAGAAAGACAAAATGTGGTTGAATGGCTAGAATCACAAGCAAGCCAAGAACCTTCACCAGTGAGGCCTCACAAGCAAGCCAAGGACCTTCAACCAGTGACGCCTCACAAGCAAGCCAAGAGCCTTCAACCAGTGAGGCTTCAGTAGCTGGCAGTCAAAACTGACCTTACCAAGCTCATGTACTCTACAGTAATTTTAAGTATTAATTTTAATGTTGGGTTACGTTAGGTTATGGCAATTTTCAAGAATTCTTAACTTCAAGATGTGTAGCGTCAATTAAGACGACGAACTACAACAAAGTAAGCTGAAGTTTCCGTTTAAAATTTATTACAGTAATGAACTGTACGTGAATATTTTATAATTATAGTCTGTGTTTGGCAATTCAAATTATGTTGGTTGTGGTAAAAAAAAATTTGAATGTGTTAACTTTCAGACTTCCCCGGTAAGAATTCTACTTATCCACATGTCTGGGTTATCCGGCAGGAGATCCTTCCTATATAATTCGGATAAGCAAGCTTATACAGTAAAGCCAATAATCAAGCGACGGATTTATATCCACCTTATAACTGTAGTCAGCCACAGCACCTTGGAACACCACAGGGTTTATTGTACCTTCAGAACACAAAGCCAAGGAATATCTAGCATGTTACAGCCATTACTCACCTGATCATCAGTCCAATAATCCACACCCATTGACCCTTCATATTTGCCAACATTTAGTCCTGTGTGGTTTTCTATTGCAATTGCTTGCTGATGGACCAGAGGAACAGTGTTCACAACAAACACTGTACGCTTACTGCCATTCGACAATGACCCACGGATCTAAAGATTAAAAGATTTACCTGTAATACATCTGAACACTAGTAAAAATAAATTAAAATAACTTTAATGTACTGAAATTATCAAAACCGACAGTAAATTATAACATTTATAAAGTCCACCCCCCCCCCCCTTGGTGTCCAATTTGTGTATTTTTACATGGCAAGAAGTGAAAGACCAACCAGGCTGTATTGGATAAGTGGGCCTGCAGGCCACTCCAAGCAACAGCCTGTTGGACCAAGTTATCACAAGTCGAGCCTGGCCTCAGGCCGGGCTCAGGGAGTAGAAGACCTCCCAAAACCCTCTCCTGGTAGGTATGGGTCGTGATTAGGTATAGTCAACGAAAAAATTCCTTTAGCCCCCAAGTCTGTGGAACATGCAAAATGACAACGCCACATTTGTTGTTGTAGTAATGGTTATGAATGGATTATGAATGAACAGACGCTTTGTATGACGAGTCTCATTGGTCAAAACAACACACACTATATAATATAATTCACACTGCTATCGAAAGGAAATTAGAGGAGAGCAGTGAATAAAAAACCAGCATTAAATGTAATGAAACGCCATTTTCTAGGCGAGTCCTGGAGGCTCCCTGGAGCTTACTAGGCTGATATGCTAATGTCAGACTTTGGCATCAGCCATGTGTATGGAGTTCTTATGGGCCTACCGGGGACCACAAGCCAGAACCTGGCCCCCTCTAGAGAGGCAAGGGGAGCAATGGCCTATAGAAACCCCCGTGTAACTGGAAGCATTCTATGTCTGCCATTGACTGGGTTAGGCACCCAGAAAAGTAGGCGTACCAAAACAAACCCCTATTCTGGTGAAAATTACAACCAAAAGCCAAACGAGTGGATAGAACTCTCCAAACAAAAACAAGCAAACTAATATGATGTCACCCGTCGTCGCGCCGCTGTCTGCGCAGCCCCCCCCTCCCCGGGAGGGGGAAGGGGTAGCCCCAGACCTACCGCACCGGTGATCCACACCCCGGTTCTGAGGCTGGATGTCAAAACACGTGAAAAAAACGCCAACCAGAGGGAGGGAGGGATGCCAGGGAGCCTCCGGAACTCACCCAAAAAATGGCGTTTCATTACATTCAACGCTGGTTTTTTGGGGAAAGCCCCTACGGCTCCCCGGAGCTAACTACCCACAGATGAAATGAATAGGAACTCACCCGGGAGGCGGTTGCTGCTCACTCCTCAACCCCAAGTCGAGACAACTGGCTGCATCCGCCAACCCAAAGCGACACAGTCCCGACTGGGCCCAGGAATGTTTACTAGGTAACGAGCAGCCAGGACCCTGTTCAACCGCCAAAATCCCTGCGCCTGAATGTCAGTCCAGGACATATTGCCAAAGACAGCGGCAAGAGCCGCGAACTTGCAGACGTCATGGGCACGGGGATAGACCGCAGGCTGGCAAGCCTTAATAACCCTGCGGACGAACTGGAAGACCCGCACCCTCGAACAGGGAAGAAAGGAAACTGGATCAACCCAAAGCGCGTCCACGGACACAGAAGCCGTGGAGCGCAAATACCGATGAAGAGCCGCAACCGGATACAAAACATGGTGCACCCCCGGCCTAACCAACCAAGCATCAACAACCCAGGGACCCCTCCAGAGAGCAGCAGTCTCATTCTTCACCAGAAAAGAAGAGAGGCTGCAGACAAAAAAAACGATCACCCCGACCGAAGGAGCAGAAATCTCTGCGCCGGAGGAGAGCATGATGCTCACCCACCTGACCCCCAAAGGCCAATGCCAACAATAAAAGAACCTTCGAAAAATAATCCGGGACTGAAGGGGCCACAACAAAATGAGAAGAAAGAAAACAGAGCACTCTATCCAATGACCAGGACAGTTCAGCCACCTGATCACCATAGAGATGATAAACTTGAGTTAAAAACACCACACGCTAAAACTCGAGGAAAAGATCGAACCATCCACATGACATACCGATCCGATCTGCTGGAAGAGGTGGAGCTGCGGAAAAACCTCCGGGTTTGGACACCGAGCAAGCAGCGCCTGAAAACCACGACTGGGCCGGCCACCAAGGGGCCAAGAGGACAACTCTTCCCTGGTAAGTCTCCAAGCGAGTCAGGACCTGGAGCAACAGCTGAACCAGGGGAAGAGGTACAGGAACCCCCACCTTAATAGAGGATATAACTATTTTTCTCTACTACACAACACGGAGGATCAATTTTAAGATTTTAATATAAACAATAGCTGGTGAATTTTGTGAAGAGGAGTCCTTCGTGTTAGTTATATATATGCATTCTCTGCTTAAAACTTGAAGTAAATATGTCTTTTATGATATTAGAATTAGTTTTATAATAGCAAGATATTATACCAGTAGTTATTAAGTAAATAAACACTGGTGAACATGAAATATGAGAGAAGGTGATGAGGCCTCCCTAATGGGATCATTTACTATCACCAAATGCCCCTGTTCACCTAGTAATAAGGGTGTACCTTAGCTATACATACCCATTTCTAATTTATTTAGTTTGGTTTAATTTTGAAATTAAATGTGGGTGAGACATAAATAAAAATATGTTGCACAAGTGATGTCAGGTAAGGAGAAGAGTTAAAACTTCAAAAACTTTTCTCATTGAATACTTAAAGCTATAATTATGACTATATGGACTATTAAAAAAGAGAGAGGGGGAAGTAGGGGTCCAAGACCTCTTCCTGTTACACAACTTGAGTGTGGAACAAGTAATTATCAAAAGAAGGCACCATGCTGGGAAGGATATGTAGCAGTAAGGCAGTGAGGTGAGGCAGCTACTTATTTAAGGAATGCTTATTTTATTTACCTTATAAGCTGAGGCAGCTTATTTTATTTGAGGAATACTCAGCTGATTCCTCTACATTTAGCATCGAACAAATTTGTGTCAAAGACCTTCCTATTACACAATTTGGCTGTGTGTAACCAAACTAGAAGTGCTCTACAAATCAAGGTACCCAGAATGTGGAACGACCTCCCGAATCATGTCAAAGGCTGTACCTTTCTCAACCAGTTTAAGAGTAAAACCAAGGTCTACCTAATTAACTCCATGTAACCTGCCTTACCCGCTAAATGTCAACCCATGTCTTGCTATTTTTTAAACAATGCTGTTTGTTCACCATCGTGTACAATTGCTGATTTCTGCTATGTTCCCCCCTTTTTTTTATTTTTTACTCCTACTTTCAACACAATTTATACTGTACCTAATCCCAATTACTATTAAGTTTTAGTCTAAGTGCTTTTTCCCCCACACCTTGCCTGAAATGCTATGAGAATTAGTGGCTTTAGGTATTGTATGTACTAGTTTTGTCTATAAATCCAACATTATGTTTGTAAATCAACTATGTATGTACTTTTCCTGAATAAAATTTATTTATTATTATTTATTTATTAATCAGTAAGTAATTATTAAAAGAAGGCACCAAGCTGGGAAGGCTATGTAGCACCATTGTGTGTAACAATAAACCAAATCCTGTCAGCTGTAAAAATATTGATGCAGTTATTTAAATAAAAAATACAGTATAATGAAAGAAATATTACTGGTTCATTTTTATCCTATCGTTTTGTACTGAACAGTATCTCCATGGAAGTGAAAAATTGAGACATAATGCACAATTTAATGAATGATTCAAAAGAAATATGACTATTACATATCAATATGAGATCTTAATGATCCATGGTTAACATGATTTAATAAGGATAATACTTGTAATAATACAAACTATAATTTAAAATCTTTATTACTGATTTTTTTTATTAAGAAGTGTAGGAATACACAGCAATGTGCTGCTACCCTATTCTATATGGAATATTACAGTGTAGATAAAAAACTAGCTACAAGTTTATCTAATACTCCCATCTCACAGGATGGATTGGCATACATGGAATCAAGGGAGAAAATACCAGCCTCAACACAAAAAACAAATCAACTCTGACTAAACATCAACTTCACAATTTTCACAAGAAGTAAGCACTGAATCATGGAAACATCATAATTACTCTAATCAGTTTCTACAAGACTCCTCTCAAACAATGTATTTTTTAATATGCTTAGGTATACACAGCAATGTGCTGCTTCCCTATTCTGTATGAAGGACCACACAGTGTAGATCAACAACCAGCTACAAGCTCATCCAACATCCTCACCTCACAGGATGGCCAGTCATACATGGAATCAGGAGAGAACAAAATACTTAAGACTGATCTATAGCCTCCACTGGCAAAATCTGGGTGCAGCACAAGAATATCTTCCAATATTCCTGAGTATGAAGTAATTACAGAGCTCAAAGTACCTCATACCATTTGATATGAAGTCACTGATAACAGGGCAATCACAGATATAGTGTTGGAGAGTATGTTCTCTCCAACACTATATCACTACATCACTAAGTAGGACTGAAAACAGATGTTTTTTCCACCAAGAGGGTTATAAACCCATGGAACCGCCTACCCGCTGAAGCCGTAAATGCCAAATTCCAGCAAAAAAATATCATTGAGACAATTGGCGGGCCCTTTAACAAGCTGCCGGTTTTCTGTTCTCGTCGAGGCCGCTAGATAGATAGTGGCCCTTGGGTAAAATCAGTAAATATATACAATAATTGTCAGCGCATCTTCCGAGCAACAAGGACAGCTAGACTTGGAACTAGACTTCCAGTATCTCTTGGAATTACGTAGGTAAACAACAAATGTAACATATTTGTTTACTACAATGTCGGTGCTGGCTGTAAAAGTTGAAAAAACATAGTTTTACTTCTAAATACACTAATTTTATAAGAAAATTCGACATAAATAGAGCGCAGATGAGCTGCGATAAGGCAGCGTCGTGATTGGCTAAATCTTCAAGATGAAGAATGTTGCCTGCTCTCTGATTGGTCAAACGAAACACAGTAGTGACCTCTGTCGGCATGCAGGTGAACCAGACCCAAAACCCAAATATCTTCGTAAGTTTACCTACCTGAATTGCACCTAAGCATCTTCTTAGGGAATACTTAGGAACCTTCGTA